TGGTTGTCGTAATATTTTCGACGTTATTCTATTGAATTCTATAGAGAAAACGTCATTTTTGACTCGTTTTCAGGAAAGATTTCTTTTCAAAAAATGTCAGTAACTTTTAAATGGTGCAGACGAAATTGTTTCTCTTTTGGTCATTTCACACAGAGATGATTTCAGAAAAATCTATGTAAAAAAATTAATATGTCTTCGAGTTAGTTTTCTCGTAATTTAAATGCGAATAATTGCTTTTACATCACAAGATGTAGCATTTTTAAAAATGACGCTATAAACTATCGCGACGTCACGCTTGACGTCATGGATACGGTCCGGTATAAAGTGCAGAAAAACAAAAAGAAGAAATTTATGTTTATATACATTTAATGTAAAGTTTGTATTTAAAATAAGCACAGATGTATGAGTTATGTAACAATGTATTTTGTCTGAAACACCTTGTTTAAGCTGTAACTAAGAGAGAGAGACAGAGAAGGCTAGCTGGAGGGGGGGGGGGGGGGTTGCAGGAGCAGTACTCCTAGTGTGATTCAGAGACTTTTTTCTTACAAGAATGGGGGAACGAATATTAATTAGAGAATAAATTAGAAAAAAAAGTTCAAAATTTTCTGACAAGTAAGAATATGAGTAATCGCCAAAACGTTAGGGAAGAGAAATGGTGAGTGGTTAGGTACAACTATTATTCAGGAGCAAATGTGGTAGGGGATGAGTATAGTAAATAATCTTTTTTCAACAAATACATATCTATTCTCTGTCGAGTTGAAATGATACATGTTATATGTCCAATATTCTTCTATATCGAAGACTAATTTTTGTTTCATTTTGCTTGATATAAATCCCAAATAAATAATCTTCACGAGGAACAGCTGAAGTGCTAACAAATAAACTTTTTCTTAATTCAATACCAATCAACGAAGTTTGGACCCTCAACACACTTGTATTCTAGATGTAATTTGCTTCCGATGCCTGTGATACGTATATCAAGTGCTTTCAAATGACCCGTTTACGGAATTTTCACATTGGTAATGCTAATACGAGTACACACGCTGCATACAACATGTACAACTGCTCTTTTAACAGGATGTCCCTGAGGTATAACCACATGTCGTCATGCAGCCTTTTTCCATATAAATCAAATTCTGTTTGTAAATAAAAAATAAGAAACAAGAACTACTCGTGTTTTATATGAAAAGATCACAAATTTTCACCGAACTTTGTCATTTTTTGAGCATCCGATTTTTCATTCTTGACACCGTTTGATATTGTTAAAGTATTTGTAAAACATGGTGTTATAATAGTTTAAAGAATTTATTCTTTGATGAGCGTTTTTTTAAAACACCAAGATACACAGGAACATGGGATGTAATTTTTAGTTGGGGGGGAGGGGGGGGGGGCAACCTAACAGATACAGACAAGTTTAGGCACGTAGCAATGGTTTCAATATGGGGGGGGGGGGGGGCAACCTAAAAAAACCTTATAAGCTGTCAGAATCCTGGATTTGCCAGGCTCGACATAACAGCAACAAAAAGTGGGGGGGGGGGCAACCAGCATGCATCTATAGGAAAAATTACTGTAGCAAAATACTATACTCAGAAAAAAAGTGGGAACCAACCCCCCCCCTCCTCCCCCCCCCCCCCCCCCCCCCCCGTGTTCTACGGGCCTGAAGCAGACATTCTTGAGGAGGCACAACCTCAAATTACCTCTGTTTTCTAATATGCATATTATTTTCATGTACTGGCAATATTATCAAGGGGGACAACAACTGTAAATTAGCTCGATTTTCTAAAGTATTTTATATACATTGAAAAAATTATGGGGGCTTGCCCCTCCTCAGATTCGTACCGAATTAATATCCCTGTTTCTTTAGCGCGAATTTTTAATAAATCTGCCAGCAATCTTTTTTAATCAGGCGAAATAACACACAAGTACCTCTAGCTCCGAGACTCTGTTATTTTGGAGCTTTAATTTCTTCGTCGCAATACTTTTACTTTGTTCAAATCTTTCTATGATAATAGATGTATCTAAATCTAGTTAAACATCACTGCCTTAATTCTCTATACATATCTGTATTTATACGGTGCATTTACACTGCATTCCTCACCGTTTTTTTTTTTATTTATTCTTTATTCGGTTTTTCACATACAAATGGGGGATACCTCCCAAACTTTTACCTTGATTTTATATTTAAATACTTCTGAAAAGAATTTTTAAAAAGCCATCAGACGAAACACTTTGAGAGAGGTAAATGGAGATGAAAATCTAAAAATTAATTCTTTCTTGTCTTATCAACAGGCTACAATTTACTACCCAGATTTTTTTTTTAGCGACTTTTCAATTTATAGGGCAATTTGCTTGACCGGGAAAGCAAATTAAATATAATCTGAAGCTAACAGCATTGTAGGCTGTTATTATAGAAGGTCTGTGTCGTTTTTATGTTTTATGCTTCATACTTGAGCAGTTTTTCAATTGTGATATAGATATACTTGGTTTTTTTTTTAAATTTCCTTTTTAAAAATAAAGTTTCAACTTTTGATATAACAGTTGTAACTGCGGTTGTTTATATAATGATGGTTTATCACTGAAACAAACTTTTTATTAAAATACGTCAAAGGAAAAAAAATAATCATGCAGTTTACACTTGTTCAGTTGCTCCACATCTTTTCGTGATACTGTTGTGGCCTCAATTTGATGATAAATAAACGCTTTCTAACGCTTTCGATTTTAGAACATTAAAAAAATCATTTAAAAAAAGTTTTCAATCTGTGATAACTTCAGTTTGTTGTATTGAAGAGTTAAAAAAATGTCTTACTCATTGTGATGTCATAATCAAATGTGCACAAGAAAGTCGCCCAAATCATATAAATTGCGTACTCAGTTTTAATGACGTCAGCAAACCTGCGACCTACGTTAAAAAGTTTTGAGATTCCAGACATAAATATTTATTGTGAGTCTCCTTACGAGAAAGACATGAGAAATATCTAGAAAACGGGCAAGTACGTGCGCTGAAATCTGATTAGCTAATACTTAAAGGACTATATTGTTTTTTTGATGAAATACTTTTGAAAATAAAGTGTAGATTTATTAAACAAAACAGTTGCCTAATTTGATGAAGCTTGCAGGGAATGAGGTCCAAAGTGGAGTAGGGGAGCGTTTGGGGAACATCTGTAACGCGTCCCGTTACAATTAGTACTAGTTATTATTCTTTTTTTCTACTTTCTTTTCTGGTACTCTTTTGTCCGGGAGTGTTCTCATAGAACCACTCATCCGATTGACATGAAACCTCTTTAGGGTTAATAGGCATGTTGTGTAGGTGTTCGGAATGAAGGTCAGTATGAGCGCACATGCAGACACGTGCGTGTGCGTGCAGTGAGTGAAATGACTGATATACTTGATGAAGCCGTATATTTTATATTTCTTGATGAATTGCTTTGAAACTCAAAATATAAAGATACATTAGTAGTCTAGACAAGATGACATGGTCAAATTAGCGTGAACTCGTGTGCATGCACGTCGCTCTTTTCTGATTGGCTGATACAAAAATCTCAATAATTTCCTCTTTTTTTTGACAAAATACTTTGAAATTTAGAATATACGTATATATTATAAGGTGCTACAACATGTTAGATAGGAAATTTCTTGAAAACACGTGCATGAAGATGTGTTGCAATCTGATTGGCTGAAACTTTTAATGTCTATAACTCCCTTGGTATTCAACAAAACAGGATGAAATTTACGACATGGATAGGCACATAGGGCTCCTACTTTATGATACTATCAAAATTGAATGCAAGGCCATGCATGCGCGTATGCTGAATTCTGATTGGCTAATAATTGAAGGATTACATCTCTCTTATTTTTCAATGAAATTCTTTGATATTTAACACAAATGTATATATTGTGAGACACTGTAAGAAAATTAATGTGAAAAATGTAGAAAACATGTGCAAGCACATGCGCTGAAATTTGATTGGCTAATACCCATATGGCTATATCGGAGTAGTTTTCCAATAAAATATCCTTAAAAATATAGTGTCCATTTATTTTACAAAAGTATTGTCTAATTTAATGAAGCTTGAAGGGAATGAGTCATCATAAGGAATTGGGGAGCCGTTTGGGAAACATGTGTAATGGTTCCTGTTACAATTAGCACTAGTTTACAATAAATCCAAGTATTCTAAACATTATATTAGACCAAGAAAGAGTAGTTGAAAAACTTTATTAGCACGCATTTCTCCATTTGAGTATGCAAAAGCAAAATTTCTTTTCCATTATTGTCTTTGAAGATTTTACCTTGTTTAAAAAAAGGCACGCTCCCTTTATTAAAAACAAATAAGTTAATTTCAAAATAAGCTTCTTCATATTATATAATTTTCTCAAACTCCAAAAAACATTTATCATAAGTGTATAGAGGGTCCTTAAGGCTATCAGGACTGACTTCGTGGTGGTAATTGGTCAATTTGTGAGATGTTAATTACTGTTTAAGTGTCATGTCTTTACCCAGCCTGTCCTGTGCTTCTTCAATGATTTAATTTAATGATCATTGAGAACTGTGAACTTAATATGATAATGTACATCTAATAATTCCTTTGAGAATGATTTGAGGGGTGGGGATGGGTGTTAACATCCATCATTGTAGTAGCCAGTATGATACATTGATAAAATTTGACATTTCATCAAGCTATATTGAGACTTTTCCTATTTTTAATGAACTTTTTTGCTCATTAGTATTTATTTGATAATGCAGAACTTTCACAGATAGATGTTTTCATATATCTATATCTTGAAGTCAGAATGTGCTATTGATAAAGCATTTTATACCCTTGGATAAAGCATATTTTTATCTTATGGGTAGTATTAACCACACATATCAGATAAATATACCATATCTATGTATAAATATTGTTTATATCATAACTTTTACTTTGGGTTTAAAGTATATGCTTATTGAAAATGGAAATTTGATTCTGGTGACCTCTGTTACACAAAAAAACGTCTTGTTTTAGTCTATTTGGTCTTCTCCTGGTCCTTCTCCTTTGGAAAAACTTCTGGAAATGCAGAAACAGAAGAAAACCACAGACCCTCACTGAAATATCTGCCACTAAATAGTGGGTCTTCAGACAGCTACAGAATGATTCAAGAAACACAGCTTGTAAAGTAAGCTAGATAAACTTTTGAAAACAAACTGTCTAAGCTGTATGACTTTATTTGCAAAATCTGTTATTTTTCTATTCCAAGCAAAATTTCTGCTTATATGTATTCTGTGGATTGAGGTTCACTGCAAACACCAGATAATGAACCAAGATCATTTTTATACAGTTCATTTGCAGTTTCTGAAAGACATGTAGCATCAAAAGCATTGTAATGTTGCATTTCTGAAGACTCTAATAGTCTTACTGTGTATAGCATTTATTACAAGTGATTTAAATGTTGTATGGAAAAAATGACAGTTAAACATACTTTGACATTTACATGTAAATGTCTAACAGAGTAGATATTTAAATGTTTCTAAAAATCAATCGGTACCTTTTAATTTATATTTTGTAGATTAGAGCATTGCTATACCTGTTCATTACTTTGTACATGCACTTTTGTGTTTGTTTTTTTTAAAAACTAAAGGGAATGTGATTATTTTCAAAACATATTAAGCACAGTACAAAAAGTGCAAAAAAAGCTCATCCTTTGGACATTTCATTATTGTAGAAATGGTGAAAGTTGTGCATTGTAATTGAAAGAAAGAATGATGAATGATATATGTGAAATATAATGTTATAATATTAAACATACAGTTGTTAGCTCACCTGAGTTATAAGCTCAAATGAGCTTTTCTAATCACCAATTGCTGAGTGTTCATCCATCTGTCTGTCCGTCTGTAAATTTTTCACATTATCAACTTTTTAGCTCACCTGAGCCGAAGGCTCAAGTGAGCTTTTCTGATCACATTTTGTCTGTAGTCCGTCTGTCCGTCTGTCTGTCCGTCTGTCCGTCTGTAAACTTTTCACATTTTTGACTTCTTCTCAAGAACCACTGGGCCAATTTCAATCAAACTTGCCAAAAAGTATCCTTGGGTAAAGGGGATTCAAGTTTGTTCAAATGAAGGGCCACGCCCTCTTCCAAGGGGAGATAATTAAGAATTCGTGAAAAATTAATGGCATCATTAAAAAATCTTCTTCTCAAGAACCACTGTGCTTGAAAACATGAAACTTATGTGGAAGCATCCTCAGGTAGTGTAGATTCAAGTTTGTTCAAATCATGACCCCCGGGGGTAGGGTGGGGCCACAATGGGCGATCAAAGTTTTACATAGGAAATATACAGGAAAAATCTTTAAAAATCTTCTTCTCAAGAACAGCAAAGCCATACTTGGTCATATTTATATGGTAGCATCCTCAGATAGTGTACATTCAAGTTTGTTCAAATCATGACCCCCGGGGGTCGGGTGGGGCCACAATGGGTGATCAAAGTTTTACATAGGAATATATAGGAAAAATCTTCAAAAATCTTCTTCTCAAGAACAGCAAAGCCATGATTGGTCATATTTACTTGGAAGCATCCTCAGGTAGTGTAGATTCAAGTTTGTTCAAATCATGACCCCCGGTGGTAGGGTGGGGCCACAATGGGCGATCAAAGTTTTACATAGGAATATATAGGAAAAATCTTTAAAAATCTTCTTCTCAAGAACAGCAAAGCCATGATTGGTCATATTTACATGGAAGCATCCTCAGGTTGTGTAGATTCAAATTTGTTCAAATCATGACCCCCGGGGGTCGGATGGGGCCACAATGGGCGATCAAAGTTTTGCATAGGAATATATAGGAAAAATCTTTAAAAATCTTCTTCTCAAGAACAACAAAGCCATCATTGGTCATATTTATATGGTAGCATCCTCAGGTAGTGTAGATTCAAGTTTGTTCAACTCATGACCCCCGGGGGTCGGGTGGGACCACAATGGGCGATCAAAGTTTTAGATAGGAATATATAGGAAAAATCTTTAAAAATCTTCTTCTCAAGAACAGCAAAGCCATGATTGCTCATATTTACATGGAAGCATCCTCAGGTAGTGTACATTCAAATTTATTCAACTCATGACCCCCGGGGGTCGGGTGGGGCCACAATGGGCGATCAAAGTTTTACATAGGAACACATAGTAAAAATCTTCTTCTCAAGAACAGCAAAGCCATGATTGGTCATATTTATATGGTAGCATCCTCAGATAGTGTACATTCAAATTTGTTCAAATCATGACCCCCGGGGGTTGGGTGGGGCCACAATGGGCGATCAAAGTTTTACATAGGAACACATAGTAAAAATTCTAAAAAAAAAAACAATTTATTAAGAATAGCAAAGCCATGATTGGTCATATTTATATGGTAGCATCCTCAGATAGTGTACATACAAATGTGCTCGAATCATGACCCCCGGGAGTCGGGTGGGGCCACAATGGGCCATCAAAGTTTTACATTGGAACACATAGTAAAAATCTTTAAAAAAAACTATTTGTTAAGAATAGCAAAGCCATGATTGGTCATATTTATATGGAAGCATTCTTAGATAGTGTACATTCAAGTTTGTTCAAACATGACCCCTGTGGGTCGGGTGGGGCCACAATGGGTGATCAAAGTTTTACATAGGAATACGTAGGTTAAATCTTTAAAAATCTTCTACTCAAGAACAGCAAAGCCATGATTGGTCATATTTAAATGGAAGCATCCTCAGATAATGTAGATTCAAATTTGTTCAATTCCTGACACCCCCCCCCCCCCAACCACTTTTATATTTAAACTTTTCAACCTTTCAAGATTGAAGTGATTTCTGCTTTTTCCTAGCCATAGTGCTCAGGTGAGCGATGTGGCCCCTGGGCCTCTTGTTAGGTCACCTGAGTTTACTCAGGTGACCTATTGCTATCTGTTTTCGCCAATTGTGGTGCGATAACATTTGAACATTTTCAGCTTCTTCTCTGGAACCACTAAACCAATTTTAACCAAATTTGGCATATAGCATTTATGGGTGAAGGGAAGTAAAAATTATGAAATTCATGACCCCTACCCCTCTGGGTCCTGAGGGCTGGGGCTAAAACTATCAAAATTAATGCATTCTTTAAAAATCTTCTTCTTTATTCCTGGACATTAAGCAGGCAAACTGTTGGCATGATTATAATAAGCATTGAGCCCTCTACCTCTGTGAAATTCATTGCCCCAGGGTCAGGGGTTCTGGTGTTAGGACGGGGCTTTGTTGAATATATAGTGAAAATGCATTATTTCTTTAAAAATCTTTTCCTCTGATCCAGAGAAACAAACGGAATGCATAGTTATGATGAGAAAGGTTGCCTCTTCCAATATTGTGAATTTTATAGCCCCTGAGTCGGGGGTTCTCGTGTTAGGGCCGGTGTAGAATACATAGTGAAAATGCATTATTTCTTTAAAAATCTTCTTTGATCCAGGGTATTAAGCACAGAAACTGAATGCATAGTTATGATGAGTAAGGTTGCCTCTTCCAAAATTGTAAATTTCATGGCCCCTGGGTCAGGGTTTCTGGTGTTAGGGTGGGGCTCTAATGATTACATAGTAAAAATGCAATAATTCCTTGAAAATCTTCTCCTTTTGTCCTGGGTATCAAGCCGATGAACAAAGAGTATAGTTATGATGAATAAGGGTGCCTCTTTCTAAATTGTGAATTTTATGGCCCCTGAATCAGGGTTCTGGTGTAAGGACAGGGTTTAAATGATTACATAGTGAAAATGCATTAATTCTTTGATAATCCTCTTCTCTGCTTCTGGGTATTAAGTAAGCAAACTAAATGTAAAGTTATGATGAGCAAGTGTGCCTCTTTCGAAATTGTGAATTTCATGGCCTCTGGTTTCAAAACGTGAACCCAATTTAATTATGGCAAAGTTGTTACATGATACTCATGTGACCTATGTTCTCAAGAAACATCTGGCTAACTTAGGCCAGGATCAAAGTTCCACATAATGCATGTATTCTGGAAAAGAATTTTCTTCTCTATAACTTAAGGGCCATGTTAGTATTATGTTACTGAAGCATCTCCATGTGGTGTAGATTGAGATCTGTTAGAGTTAAGGAGGGGCCATAATGTTGGTCACAATTATCACCTAAAAATCAGCAGTGCTAAAAAAATTCAGGTGAATGTTTTGGCCCATGGGCCCTTAGTTTTTAGCTCACCTGAGCCGAAGGCTCCGAAGGACCCGTCTCCACGTCCCGCAGTGGGTTCTAACCCGCGACGTAAGGATCAGCGATACAATGACCTTGTCAGCAAATACAATTTATCATTGAGTCAAATGCTGACTGACGTTTTTCATACTAGTTGTTGGGCCATTATTTACACACTGAATTGTCGACGGATTTTTCCGTTATTTCCCGATCATGACAAGGAGCACACGGCTCTGATGTTTGGAGGTCCGTGTTTGCTCTGTTCCTATTTTGTATTGTTTAATGGACTTTTGAGCTTGAATACTGTTCGTTATCTCCATATATTTCACTCCTTACTCTGCGAATCTAGAGCAGACTTAAACCAGTGCGCCACAGGGGCGACTTTTGAATTCGTGAAAAATTAATGACATTATTTAAAAATCTCCTTCTCAAGAACCACATGAAACTTTTGTGGAATCACTGTAAGGTAGTGTAGATTCAATTTGTTCCAATCTTGACCACCAGGGCTAGGGTGGGGCCACAATGGGCGATCAAAGTTTTACATAGGAAAAATCTTTGAAAATCTTCTTCTCAAGAAAAGCAAAGCCATGATTGGTCATATTTATATGGAAGCATCCTCAGGTAGTGTAGAATCAAGTTTGTTCAAATCATGCCCCCCCTCCTCCCCGGATCCACAATGCGCAAACAAAGATTTACACAAAAATACAGAGGGAAAATCTTTAAAAATCTTCTCAAGAACAGCAAAGCCATGATTGGTCATATTTATATGGAAACATCCTCAGGTAGTGTAGAATCTGGTTTGTTCAAATCATGACCCTTGGGGGGTAGGGTGGGGCCACAGTGGGCGATCAAAATTGTACTCAGAAATACATAGGAAAAACCTTTAAAATTCTTTTCAAGAACAGCGAAGCCATGATTGGTCATAAAAATATAATGGAAAAAAATCTCTTTTCCTCA